TTTCTAACTCATTACATAGTGTCTTGTTACTGGTAAGTCCTTTCTTTTATTGTACTTCTGGGCAGAGCAATTATAGGTCCTTCTAGCTTATTTACTCAAGGATCACATCTCTAGAACAGGGGTTCTTAAACTTTACTCTTGGGGCTCCGCGAGTGATAGTGAGAGACTTGGTGGCAACTTGTTGCTTCCCGCCTCCTCCTCCTCTTTCCTCCTCTTCCTCCTCCTGAGAAATGCAGGGGAATTAAAGTTTGGAACTGTTGAAACAACAGCAACAGCAGCATCCTCCCAGGGCACAGACCCTTTCTTCCTCAGCTCCCTTTACTGTCCAGTCTCTCCCCCACCCCTTGCTTTCAAACCCCTCTTTCGCTCCCACCACTTAGGGGATGCTTTGATTGTGCTTTTCCTGCATGACAGAAGGGAGTTGAACTGGATGCCCCCTCAGGTTTCTGTTGCTGCTGTTTTTATTATTCCAAAGGCTATATGGCCATTCGTTGGGGGTACTTTGTGCTTTTCCTGCATGGCAGAAGGGGGTTGGACTGAATGGCCCCTGGGGTTGCTCCTATTCCTACTACTACTGAGGTGGGATTACCATCTGTCAGGGGCACTTTGTCCTTTTCCTGCATGGCATAAGTGGGTTGACTGGATGCACTCTGAGGTTATTCTCATTATTCTTACTACTACTACTACTACTACTACTACTACTACTACTACTAAGGCTGGATGACCATCTGTTGGGGGTGCTTTGATTGTGCTTTTACTGCATGGCAGGAAGGGGTTGGATGATGACCCTTGGGTCTTCAATTGAAATACTGTTAAGATTATGTTGGTTAAAATGGTTCTTCATTTTAAATATTGTATTGTTCTTTCTTTTGTATCTCTTTCTATTTTTTGCACTACAAATGAGATATGTGCCGTGTGCATAGGCATTTGTTCCTTTTTCAATTAGTTTACTGATAAACATTTCTTGGGGCTCCACGAGAAACTTTTCTTATATAAAGGGCTCCGCAGCTGAAAAGGTTTGAGAACCTCTGGTCTAGAAGGTTGGTCTTGTAGTATCAAATGGAGGCTAAACGTATGCTACCTTTCTTTGCCAGCCGTTGCTCCTTTAGAATTTAATGATACATAAAAACTCCAGTAACTTTCAAACTTGCTGCTCAGATGTTCATCATATCAATGGTAGATTTTCTTCCTTGGCAAAGTAAATGAGTAGTTTGCAGCAATTTGGCAGAAATGTATGGGGTAGATGTATTAATTTTCAGTACTTTTTATTTGCTGTAACCCTTGCAATCTTCACTAGGCGAATCTCAATCTGGCACAACTCATCAAACAGAGTAGGGATGCCACATTTCATATTAATAGCTTGACAGCTCATTTTTGAAGCAATAGAATTTTGTGACTTGCAGAGACAGAACCAGAGGTGATTCAGAGGGACAACAACATCTTTGATTAATCCATTTAAATAGCAGGATTCTACACATGTTTTCTTCTTTCCCATTATCTTTGGTAGGATTTGAAGAATGCTGAATATGAATAATGTTTTCATAAGTGGATTTGTGCCTTTCTTTACATTTTCAATCCTACATCTTCTTTCAAATTGCTCTCACATTGGCAATATCTTTGATTGCTAAGCTTTTGCGCTGTCAAGTTGCAGTCATCCTATGTCAAAACTGGGAAGCCTTTGGCCCTCCAGACATTTTGGGGTTCAGCTCCCTGAAACCCTTGCCAGCATTGTTCATAGTATGTGTGAGAATTATAGTCTAAAATATCTGGATAAACAAAGTTCCCTAGGCCTGTCCTTATGAATAATCAGAAAATATACTTCTGGGCTCATGTGCTTTACAGCTAAATCTTTTCACCAGTTAATTTTATACTATCTGGTTTACATTTTAACTGATGGCAGATATTGTTTTCTCTTACAAAAATATTTATATTATTCAAATACAACAGTGATCTGGCTGGTGTTCATTCTGCCGCTTGTCAAGCTCTGTCTCTAATGGTGTCATTTCTTTTCATATCTCTAAGGCGATTGAAACTGTGTTCTTTAAAGTGAAATGTCCTAAACCAGTGTGTGGCAATTCCTATTAGCCAAAGAGCATCACAAACAGTAATAAGGTCTCCAAGGACCACTTTTCTTGCAAGCTCTGTAGTCATATTTCCTCATTAGTTCATTTCAGTTGTCACTACTGCCATGTTCCAAGCTTTTGCAATGAACACCAAAACAAGTAAAAACTATGTATGCATATAGAACAGACAATTATTTTCCATAATTCGGGGTCTTTTCGAATTCATGTGATAGCTTGTACTTTACACATTTTAATTAATTAACCTTTATCCTGATTCACCATAGTATATTAGAAAGGCGGTTCCTAGGAAAAAATGCACAAATTATAAGGCATTATCACTCTCTTCTCACATTTAGATTACTTATTTTAATGTATAAAATCTTATGTTTACTACACTGTAAACATAAACTTTATTCTCTTTTGGAGTAATTATTATTAAAGGGTAGAAACGTACTGAGAATGAAAGAATTATTTTAAATGTTTACAAGCACACGTTGGTAGAAGAAAAAAGTGAACATGTGATAATCTCTCCACACTTCACTTTATTACTATTCTATTGCTTGTGACATTACACAATAGCATTCAGTATTGTACCTTTGAGGTGATTAGCTGTGTACTGAATTTCTTAGTACATATAATATAAAAAATTCACAGAATGATATAAATGACAATTAGTAGCTAAAAGGGTTTTTTTCATGTCAGGAGTGACTTGAAAATCTGCATGTCGCTTCTGGTGTGAGAGAATTCACCATCTGCAAGGATGTTGCCCAGGGGGCACCCGGATGGTTTTAAAAAATGTTTTATCATCCTTATGGGAGACTTCTCTCATGTCCTGCATAGGGAGCTGGAGTTGACCGAGGGCGCTCATCTGCACTCTCCCTGGATTTGAATCTCTGACCTATCAGTCTTCAGTCCTACCGGCACGAGGGTTTAACCCACTGTGCCAATGGGGGCTCCTACCAAAAAGTGGCATAGCAGTATTATGAATAACTTCAAATTGTGTTGATGTTTGGGATTACTTTGAATAAGGTAAAGGTTTCCTTCCCCTTGACATTAAGTCTAGTTGTGTCTGACTCTGGGTGGTAGTGCTCATCTCCATTTCTAAGCCAGCTGCGCCCATACCTTGGGAAGTCAGATCTGGCCACAGTGGTCCACGCTCTTGTTACATCCCGATTAGATTACTGCAACGCACTCTATGTGGGGTTGTCTTTGAAGACTGTTCGGAAACTTCAATTAGTCCAGCGGGAGGCAGCCAGATTAGTCACCGGAGCATCATACAGGGAGCATACCACCCCTCTGCTATGTCAGCTCCACTGGCTGCCGATCCAATTCCAAGCATAATTCAAAGTGTTGGTTTTGACCTACCAAACCCTATACAGTTCCGACCCAGCGTATCTGTCCGAACGGATCTCCCTCTACGTCCCGCCTCGGAGTTTAAGATCTTCTGGGGAGGCCCTGCTCTCTGCCCCGCCTCTATCACAAGTGAGATTGGCGGGGACAAGGAGCAGGGCCTTCTCGGTGGTGGCCCCTCACCTGTGGAATTCTCTCCCCGGGGAAATTAGATCAGCGACATCCATCCTTTCCTTTAGAAGGAAATTAAAAACATGGATTTGGGACCAGGCGTTTGGGCAATATGGCAGATGAATAAAGGACTACGACGACCGATAAGAATAGATAATGTAAAACGAAATATGGACTCTGAGTTGGCGAATGCTGAGCTTGAGATTGGCTTATTGACTGTGATATATATTGATTGTTTTAACTGTCTTAATTGTTTTAATTGCTGTTTTACACGTTTATTTGTATTATTGTGTAGGCATCAAATTGTGCCTTTTTGTAAGCCACCTTGAGTCCCCCCTCGGGGGTTGAGAAGGGCGGGGTAGAAGTACACGAAATAAATAAATAAATAAATAAGCCGGCAAGCCGGCGTTGTCCGTAGACACCGCCAAGGCTATGTGGCCGGCTTACATTTAATATTACATGTTTATTCTAATTGCAACATGTACAAAAGAGGATCTGGTATACAAGTATAATTAGAATTAGCCAGTCTATTTCTCTACATATGCCAGTTATATACAGCCTCAATTGCCTGATTTTTATGATAAATGAATGAGAGCTAGTAGAGCACTGTGAAGTTGATAAAGTAAATGTTATGTATTACATCTCTTTCATTGAAAGCTGAGCATCTTGGAAAGAAAGACATTATGTTTATTGTAGAAAAGGTAAATGCTGAAATTGCTTTTAAAAGGTTACTATGAAACAAATAATTTGTACAGTAAAATCTTAATATATGTTTTTATTATTGTTTTGATGAGGACTTATATGTTTTGGGGAAAGTATAAAAAGGGCAAAAATGCGATTCTGAGTTTGAAATTAACACAGCTATTAGAAATGCCATTCTACATTTCCATTTTAATTCATGCATGTTTTGTTGCTTCATATATTTTTTCAAATGATAGATACTATTTCATGCAATGATATTTACTGATGTCTGTAATGATATCTGTGGACATACCGACATGAATCAAAATCCTATTAAAATTGAAAACTGCAATTTAATAGCTTCAAAATGTTTAACTTACATTTCTTTTATGGTTATATGATTTAATTGAGCTACACATTATGTTGGTATTCAACATATTATTGTCTCTTTGAACCATTTGTGTAATATCTCAGACAGGATGCATTAATGGAAGTCCTTTATGTCATTAAAATATCTATTTTCCATGAATGCCTCCTGTCCGAAATAGTGAACTCATTCTAATTGCAAGGAAAGGATCTAATGTATTTTGAAATTACTTTGGCTATATGAAGAATAAATTGAAATTTTAATGTCATTGATCAGTCATTGACATTCTGAAGATTGAGTAGCCCTTGTCCTTCATTAGTACAAAATATAAGTAAACAACTTTTAATGCAGATTTGTCTGTATTCCAGATGCGTGGAAGTCATTGCTAAAGAAGGACAGAACTTGAAAGAACTTTATTTGGTGTCATGTAAAATTACAGACTATGGTAAGTAATATTCCTTCAAGAGAAATATTTTAGGGTCAGTTTTTTAAGATACCTCTTATCATGGTTTTTCAGTCACATGTTTTGAAGATGCACTTCTTCTATATCAGAGCTTTCCAGACACAATTTTTAGATATGCATCATTTGGAACACAGTTATTTGCGAAGTGATGCAGAATCAGCTGTTTTGACCTGATCACGCAAACTGTGCAGTATCTGATTCCTCGTACATGGCGTGCATTCACAAAAGGGGATATTTTAGTGCACCATACTAATTGACACTGTTGCATAAAAAAGCATTCTAATTGATATTGTTTGTTTCACACTTACTCAGAGATTTCTCGCTAATGTTTGCGCGCAACACACTTATACACTGCAGTCAACACACTAATTTGCCTCAACACACAGTTTGGAAAGCTCTCTTCCATACTTGCCTGGGGATGGGGACCTGCTAGAGAACTTCTCTGTGTCATACATATACCATACATACAAATGTAGGATATAAATATTTAAAATATATAATAAATAGCTTCTAAACTGATACGGAAGGAGTCTATTATCTTAACATGTCCAGGTGTCAAATCTCTTCTGTCAGAGCATTGAGATTGGCAGAAAAAAATAGTCCTCTGGCTAACATTTGTCATTCTTGCCACATGGCATGTTTTCAATACATAATGAGGTAATCCAGCCATATTGGATAGGTAAACTATGTATGATCCAAATATTCTCCATCTTTAGAAACTATCTCACAGTTCCCAGTTTGAATTCCCTTGTGAAATGTGAGTTGTATGTCAGAGATGGGCAAAATATGGCCGTGGACTGCATTCTCTTTGGAACACCCTCTCCAGGGAGATTAGGCAAACTCCTACACTGTCCACTTTTTGCAGGGAGCTGAAAACTTGGATGTTTCAGCAAGCATTCAAGAATGTTTAACACCATATAAATGCCCAGTCCCTAGTTAACCAGATTGGACGTTGCTCTCTTTATACACTCAATTCCATGGCCCTATAGTCTGCTGTTTGCATTTTCCCATGCCCAGCCCTTTTGATTGTGGAATCATGCCCATTTTAGTAGCCCTGGCTCCTGGATTTGAGTATTGATTGGATGGAGTTTTAATGCTAATGGTTTATACTTTTATGTCTGTTTAACTTCGTTTTTAACTGGACAATTGCTTCATTTGATTATGTTCTTATTTTAATTGTGTTTTTGTTTGATAGATTGTTTGTTTATTGTCTTATGGACATTTGGTCCCATGTAAACCTCCTTGAGTTCCTTTGGGCGATGGTGGTGGGGTATAAGAATAAAGTTGTTGTTGTTGCTGCTGTTAAACATCTAGGACAAACAGGGGTCATTGGAGAGTGTGGGGGGTGAGGATATGGTCCCAGATACCCACTAGGAGATATTAGAAATATCTCCTCACATATTTTGACCCTCTACTGCTCTAAAAATGAGGCCTGTCTTAAATTTACAGTGGCCCAGGAGAGGCAACTGTGTAAAAAAAACAACCCCTGCCTTCAGTGCCCCTCAAAGGGTGTTATCGGTCAATTAGGAGGAAAAGAAAAACATAAATGAGGGGCTACAGGGTTGAGGGTTGTAGGTCTTCAAAGTCTCCCTAAGGCCTCTGACATTTTTCTACTTGTAATGTGTGGAAATATTTCCAGAGTAATTGTGTAGGCAGGTAGTATAAATACCTTAAAAATCCATTAATGGTATGTGGAATAGTTCAATTTTTGCAGAAGAACTTCTTAACTAATTCTGCACCTAAAGAGGTTATGCTCCCCCATTTTCAAAGGAATGGCTTATACGAAACCCAGGGATGTAATTTGTGTAATTTCTCAGTACTTTAAGAATAGTTCTTTCCTATTTTTGAAACTGATGGGATTGACAGAAGTAGTTTGTAATCTGGCACATTGGTCTTCTGTTACATTTCTCAGTCTTTTCAGTTTCAATCTGTTAAGTTTATCAATTTGTTTAGTATGTTAACTTTTTAACGACCCTGATTGTTATGCCTTATGTCATAGTATAGTATTTACATTAGCATTTAAACTGGTTTGGCTTCTGGAAAATGCCCTTGATCATTGCTGATTTATGGATCAAATTATTTACACAACTGCATACACCTGTAGAACAAGGGTGTTATTATCATTATAGTTTTATGATTAAAAGCAATAATGAAAAGAGAAAAACTCCTTCCCTCCCATTCTCTCTATATATTACTAGTGCTGATAGTCTGGGATAGTTTTGTATGTTTCTAAGGGATGAAAACAGTAGCCCTTTGCTGTAAAGAGGCCCCGTGTCAAATAAATTACATTTGTAAGAAGGCAGTAATCACAGAGAATTGTGTAAATGTCTTTTCAATTTTCTTCTCTAATTCCAGTTTGTATTTATTTCCAGAGATTTATAATTTTTGTTACTTATAACATTATAGTAATGATGAAAACTTGTGAAAATATAAAATTCACATTTAGGCCTAAAACATGTATAACTTGCAGTAGTAAATAGAATTGTCTGTATTCTGTAATGATATGTTCTTACCTTCCTGAAGTTTGTCTTTTTGCATGTTATATGCACATATACAAACAATTATAAGTAAAGTAGCTTCAGCACATTGGTAAAATATGGATATGTATTATTATTATTATTAATCATCATCATCACCATCGTCATCACATTTCCTCAATGAGGATCCTCTTCAGTACTTGTTTTCATGCACAGGGATGCAAATGGAAACTATATTTGCAAGTCAAAATGTGTACATGTTCTGCTGTACATTCTTGTTCTCAGTGGTAATTAATCAAGGAAAACTGCCACTATTTGTAAATATATTCATAATTGCTTAAATTTATTGGGACCCTCACATCATCCATAAGTATGCATTACTTGCAGAAATCATTCTTTTAAGTATAGTGATTTAGAGTATTATATAGAGATTGATGCACAATTGTTCTAGTCAATACAATTTTTGTGGGAATTCCTATCTTTCTTCTCTGGTAGTGGTTCTCAACCTGTGGGTCTCCAGATGTTTTGGCCTAAAACTCCCAGAAATCCTAACAGGTGGTAAACTGGCTGGGACCCACACGTTGAGAACTACAGTTCCTTGGGGAATAAGCACAGCCTGATAGCCCCCTTACACACAGCTGAAAAAAATCCCACATTATCTGCTTTGAACTGGAATACATGGCAGTATGGACTCAGATAACCCAGTTCAAAGCAGATATTGTGGGGTTTTCTGCCTTGATATTCTGGGTTATATGGTTATGTGAAAGGGCCCCTAGATCAAATAGTGCTGTGAAAAAAATTTACCCTTCTTTCACAATACATTCATTTTACACATTAACTTTTGAGTTTACAAGTCAAAATATGTACATGTTCTGTCCTTTTAAAATGTCTGCTATTGAAATATATTCTTATACACTGTTTAGCTTTAAGGAATAATTCTAAATTGCTTCATAATTCATTTTCCAGTTAATATTTTTATGTTCATGTGTGAACCTGTGCCAAATTTCATTGAAGTAACCATCACAATTCCAGTTGGGCAGTACTGTTCATTTGAATTTACAGTAGGTAGTGTGGTGGGGAAGTCGGGTTTCTTTGTAAGGTAGAAACAGGAGATTGGTGGACTTTCCACTGCCTTAGCTGCTCCTTTAAGTAATTTTTAACAGTGGCATGCTTTATAAGCATCACCTTGCATTCGCATGAGGAAAGGCTTTTACATGATAACCCTATTAAAAATGGCGTACAGCCACCAAATATCCCACATTCTTCAGGCTCCCCCACCTTTGGCTTCTAGTGACAGGAAGATGGACCAGTATGATCACTGTACTGAGTATGTCTCTACAAAAGTAGATTTTGTCAGCTTCATTCTTGGAATCATGGATGTTAAAAGGTTATTAGCCCTCTCTATTTAAGAATCCTGGGGGGTGGGTGGGTAATACATATCTAAGGAATGTATAAACTGTCATTTCAGGAATATTCACTTTTGGAATAATGTATACTGCAATAAGTCTTGATGGCAAAAGTTTGTTAATTGTTGGGATCTATCAAATAACAATTTATAATTTTAAAAAGACCTGAGCATGCATAGTTTTTGGTATTCTCACGTGGGCCTGGAACCAGTCCTTCACAGTTAGCAAAAGTCCTTGGTTTTTGCACATACCATGGCTGCTGCTGTAAAGGAATAAAACCATGTGAAGGACTGACAGGTGAAGACTGGTCCCCTCAGTCATGTTGTAAACTATATAAATCATTCCTTATGGAAAAAGTTATATTCAAACTTTGTTGACAATATTGAGTACTAACGAATGCAAAAAGAATGTTTTCTGACAGTGCTCCATGGAAGTCATAACTATAAGAAATCTATTATCTTTAAATAACTTTAAAAATACTCCTGAAGTCATGAAAATTCCAGGCAATTTCCTTTGAAAGTCAGTTTGGAATGCCACTGTGCATCGCAAAGCCCCATGCAGTGAAGTAAATTACAACAGTAGCATGTTCCTCAACACTATAAAGTTGCAAATCTTTTGTCTTGAGGCATATAATGAGGTATTTTCTGATGGAGAGAGCCAATAAGCTTAACTGTTAATGTTTGATAGATTATGAATTGATTTAGTACAACAGTTGTCATCACCTTCTTATCCACCAAATGGATTTACTGAAAAATAACAGGTTAGACAGAGCTGTTTAAAACAAACTTATCATCGCATCCAGTCAGCACTGCTCTCCACCTATGATTTGTATTCCACTATTTCTGTAGTTGTCATTCATGTTGCAGAAGTCTGATTTATTATGATTAAATCTGATTCAGTTCAAAGCACCCATTATCTCCATTTAAATTCCTCTAAAACACATTTTAGTATACAACTCTTCTCTAAGAGTTTGTTTTGTATCCTGGACAGGAAACCAAAGAGAACCAGATATTGAAAAACAAGAAACAGAGGTTAAATGCTAGCCTAACATTTAATCTTCTTAAAGCTACATTAATCTTACTTGGGCCCTTGGGATATA